CACGTTTTTATGGACGACTTGGACGTAAATCCGTAAATGTTGGGTAATTGTTGCTCCTATTGGTGGAGTCGCGAGGCTCCTTGACGGGGATTTTTTAAGACGGGGGACAATTGACACTAAGCCAAGACGAGACGACGTCGCGACTGACGTCGCCGGTCTAGGAGACTGGCACGTGCCAATATATGTAAATACCGTATGCCCAAAGTGGCAATTATTGTCGCGAGACGAGATCTCTCTCGAGCAGAGAAGAAGATCAAAGCCGGGGACCCTCGACGTGTCTCGAAAGGGTTTCGACTTTGAGCGGATGATCAAAGATCGGGACCGGTCGTTACGCCTCATCCCTGAGTCGTCTTCTCGACGTCAAATGTCCTTCCATATCACAGAAATCATTAGTTAGACCCAAAAAGAGAATCTCCGAAAGCCATAGAATTTCAGCCGGAAGGGGTGGTGATTTAAATAAAATTAAGGCCGCGCCTCAATTTATGGGAACCGAGGGAAAATGTCGTAGTTCGTCCCCAGCGGCGCTGCAGTCGCGGGAATGTCCTCGGGACCTCGTCGATGAATATCTCACGAGGAGTATCGCTTCGCGTGCATTTCACCCAGCGAGAGGCTCCGCCAGGCAGTGCCATTTGCATAATAAGTTCCCCCGATTTATTAACGCGATTCCATTTTAATTAAGGTTAAGCGCGGAGAGCGCGGAATCCGCATCCGCGATCGGCCCTCGCGAAAGAACTCGCCTCTATCGAAATTACATATTTCACGTGCCGATGTTCCTCGAGGCGTGACTGCGAAACCAATACCGAAGCTCGAATATGAGATCCGATCCAGAGTCGACCTCGAGGTCGGAATGAATGGAGACGTTGTCTGAAATAAAAGAAAAAAGGGAGGAATTTGAAAAGAAAAAAAAATTAAAAGAAAGTCACACCTAAAAATAAAAATGACGGACCACTCGATCGGTGTTTCGGTATATATGCACGGAACGTAGGTAAATGGGTGGTTGAAAAATCTCGGATAAATAGTCTCGAGGTGGGGAGATCCCGAAAACTGGTGGAGGAGCCGGGAAATGTCCGTTCCTGGAAGCGTGGTCCCTTTTTCGGGATTTCTCTCGGTGACTTCTTCGAGTCCCACGGGAAGGCGAGTATCCCAGGAATGCGGCGATTCGTTTTCGGGGCTAACTGGACTCTGGGTTTATTTTTATTGTCAATTTCCTCCCTTCCGATAGGGAGACAGGCGCCCTGGGGGCTTTTAGGCGATGACTTTAAGGGCGTCTCGGCGAGGATACGGGAATTCTCGGGCCGTCCACGTTTCGAGATATAAAATAAAATACACGGGTCCGATGGAGCGCGTTATTTCACGCCTTCCCGCCGATAAAACGACGTCCGACTGACCAGCGCGTTTCCCCGTTCCCGTTTCCTCCCGTCTAAACGTGGGAATGGAACGACAGCGGTCCCCGAGGCCGGGAATCCGAAAAACCGAAGAGAAACCCAAGGAACTCCTCACCAGCGCCGCCATTTGTCAATCCCACCCTCGCTCGAATTTCCCAAGTGGTCGTCCATCCCGTGAGAATTAATTCCCACCACTTTCGCTGATCCCCCTAGAAATTTCATCGGCTTAACACTGTACCTTAACGCAACACCTGAAGCACCCCCGACAAAAAATGGTAACAATCAATCACCCTAGTTCCAACAACCGAAATAAATCCTGAATGGCGTAAGGGGAATATAGAGCGAAATTACCTTCACCTTGGACACCTTGAAAAGGAAGGTTGAGAATTTTTTCGAGCGGCTGTTACTTTTCCGCTGACCCCCCTGGATATTTTATCGGCTCTCCCTTAACAAGGTACCTTAACACAACACCTGGAGCACCCTCCAAAAAATTGTTACACTCGATCATCCTTGTTCTAGCTGCCGAAATAAATTCTGGATGGAGGGAGGGCAATGTCGAGCGAAATTACCTTCATCTTGGATAGGTTTGGAAGGTGGGGAATTTTTTTTAGAGGGTGTTACTTCTTCGGATTCATCGTAGAAAATCGACGTCGATAGAAGTCCTGCGTCAAAAGGGAGCTCGGGCCTCCCACCTTGCCTCGGATTTAGGACTCATCACGGGCGAAGGAAGTCCCTCGAGCAAGAATGCACCCGGGAGGATAAATTGGGTGGAGGGATGGTCACCCAATCCCGGGACGAGCCGCAGGTTCCACGGATATTGGGCGGATTTGGCCAGGACGAGGCCGGCTCTCGTACACGTCGGCGTATTTCCCCTCTAATCTCGGGACGCGAGTGGTTTCTCGTCATCCCGGTATCGCCGGTATCACGAGAGAGGAGACGGCGCCATTCTGCGTGGAAAATATGTCCCCTCTTTATCAAGGGTCGGGCCCGAATTAAGGTGGCGCCTTCCATAGAGGCCGATCGCTCCTCGCCTCGCCCCTTTCCACGGGGACAAATTTTCCTCTCAGAAAAATTGTTGAAAATTCAAATCTTGGAATTTCCACCCGGGATTTAACTCTCTAAATTGAAGGATTATTAACATCCTGGAATAAACCGATTTTTTTTTCCTAGGGAGAGACACAGGAGTCCGTCAAGGGCCGGCCTGTTTTTTATCCTTACTTTCTTCCCTATCGAATGTTACCGAGGAACCTGGAATTTTTTAATCATTCCCTTTCCCGAAACATTCGAGGGATCCCAAGAATTGGAATTAACTCTCCTCGAAGGGCAATCGCGACACACGGGGCAGAAATACAATGCTCGCGATGCAGAGGAGCACGCGAGTCCTTGGAAGCGTGTGATCACTCGTTTGATAGTTGCCGCTCCTCGGCTCCTCCTGGAATCTCATTCCAGGAGTCCAGGATATCTCACGTGCCTGCGATTTCCTCGGACACGGAGAGACACGCGACTCCCCCCGTGTCTCAATCTTGAAACGGCACGCGAGTCGACATCTTCCCTGCTTCCCCTTCTGCAACTAAAGATATTAAAAAAATCTCAGATTAATCCACCCCCTACTCCCCCTGTCCCCTTCTTGTCCAAAATCCCCGGAAAGCGACCGAAAAAAAACAGCGTACCTTAAAGGATCTCTTTCTCCCTATAAACCGGAAGTGCGAGGTATCACTTATCACCGAAGGACCGCAGAAAGGCCACCGCCACCTGTTAGGCCCACATTATCTTATTATCTTGTTATCATGTTACCGTGTTACATTCACACCATCGGAGTAATTCCACGCAGTGCGGAGGAAGTGAGGAAAGAAATATAGAAAATGCATGTGGAAGGGGAATGTAGATTAAAAAATGGAACGATCGTATTCCTCGGCCACGATCGGCGAGTCATGGGTCGAGAGGGCTCTCGAGATGGTTTGGTTTCGAGACGAGGCTTGGTCTTAAGATCAAGTCTCGGTCTCGAGATCAGGCCTCGTCTCGTACCGTACCAGCTAGTACGTACCGACTCGGTGCGCCGGTACGTACTAGGCTCGGCGAACGACGCCGGAGGTCTCCGGTAATTGGAGAGGACTCGCCGGTCTTTTTCTTTCTCCTTCCCTCCCTTTTTCTCATTCTTTCCTCGGCGGACGCTCCTCGATCCTTGCGGCTCTCGTATGACTTTCTACGTCGAATGGACAGGCGAGGTTCCTCGGGACCCCCCATGGCTCGGAGAATGCGCCCTCGACCGAGGCGAGCGGTCCTAAAAATATGAAAAATATTAACACACCGTCAGAAAAAAAAAAAATTACCAAACTCATCGAACCAATGAAATACTTCGGTTAATTCAAAAAATGACTGATGTTCGATCCCGGCGAAACGCCGCATTCAATTCCTTCCAGTTTCGGTCGAATGAAAAAAATATCTTTGTTTGGCACTGTTCGGGGAAATATTTCTCGGGTTGGATATTCCTTTTTTCTTTTTTTTTCGGAGTGTCTAGAAATATATGTAAATACGTCGCCATTCTTGGTGACGTTGGAGGTGTGCCATCGTAATGGTACTGTGATTCTCGGAATCGGACGCGGCCACCGTGATTATCGTTCTAACAAGCTGCATAACGAGCAATGTTGGCAGAAGTTGAGGAATAATTTTAAATTTCCCCCCCTCGATGGGAATTAATATTCATGCCGCACGGACGTCGCGCGTTCGCTCCGGTATACCGGGGATCGAGATGGGACATTCTTTTTACTTTTTCATTTGGGCCAGGGAAATTAACGCTATTTCCTGGGTGAGGGAGGGTTGGCTGCTAATCGGGAGTTGTAATTTTCCCGATCGGGTAGGCCGGTTTTTTTTTTTCGAGGGATCCGGAAGTGGGCGTGAAAAGAAACCGCCGTCCATCTGCGTCTCTCGTCTTAAATCTAACCTTACTGCCGGTGGGTAATGAACTTTTCGGCCAACTTTTCCCCCTCCGGCAACAATGGCCGCACGCACGACCGGACGTTCATCCTGCACTCTTGTAAAGAGCGCTTAATTAACGCCCGGCACGCACGCCGGTATTCCGAAAGCCCGATTTATCTTGGGGGAAAAAAAAAAAGAACATGGCAATTCCCACAAAGCTCGCTAATTCTATTCTCCGAATTTCGCGTCCCCCGTGCGCCAGCGCTCCGCCAACGTCGAATTAATTCCCCGCTGCACCGGGAGTGGAAAATACTCGAATAACCGCGAGGTATGGTAGATGTGAGGGATTTAGGGAAACGGTTCTATTAACGCGGTTTTTAGGTCCCAAGAGATTACATTTAACCGTTGGAAGTAACTTCGTGTTGGGATGGGATGGAATTATCCTCTGATCGAGATCTTTCGCTTGGAAGCGGTCTTCGACAGGAGGAGAACGTCTCCCGTGGAGCGCCACTCCCCGACTGACTGCGAGACTACCCCCACCCTCGAGACCCGCGAGGCCACTAGCGGCTGCTCGCTTCGGCCGTTTCCGCCGGCGCTCGGGGGCGCTCGGCGCGCCCACCCTCCCGCGGTCTCCTCGCGCTTCTCCGGCGTGCGGTCGCGTGCAGTTTGTCCACGGCGGTCGGCGAGGGCGCACGCTCGCCTTCTTCCCGGGTCATCCGTTCCACGCGCGTGCGCGAGCGCGGTCCTTCCGTCGCAAAAGCGACCGGAACCGGCGAATTGGGACGCAAAATGCGAACGACCCGGTCCTTGAGCCTCGCTCCGTTGAAACCGGTGACGCGCTGATCAACCAATGAGAGCCAAGATTGAAGACCCTCTCAGAAGAACGGACCCCGCCTCCGCAAGAATACCTGAGACCCAATAGGTATTCTCTCGAAAAGGGCCACACGCGCGTACAGGGTGTCCATTTTGTCCCCCGCTAAATAATAAATGACAGAGAAATTACGCATGACTTTTGCATTAGCTAAAAAAAAAAAGAAAAAGTTCTCAAGAGGGAATTCCACTTTATTTCTGTCGAAAAGGCTGGCAGAATTCTCAGTAACAAAGTTCCAGGTTTATTCCCTAGGATTTTCTAGTCTCTAATTTTCTCTAACCGGGGACCTGTCTCGTAAAGGAGGCGACGTTTCCCACGGTCTGGAGAGCTCCGATCAAATGCAAGTCGTAATTGCGTGCTTGGGCGAAAACCTTCCAAAGGGACAGCACCGACTCGCCGGCCTGCGGCAACGATGCCGTAAATACGTCCCTAGGTGCACTTGCACTTGCACTTGCGCTCCACAGTCGTTTAAAGGGCCGCCAGTTAAAGGGCGCGCGAAGCGCGAAGTGTCCGCGAGGGTACACGATTGCCTTTTTTTCCCGGCTCGCCTCCTCCACTTTTCGCCGAAAGTGTCGCGGCAACTCGAGAGAACAGAATTAAAAAAAAAGAAGAGAGAAAGAAAAAAGATACACGTCCTCGAATTTTCACCGCGCGAAGCTCAGCGACGATTCCTCTTTAATTTTTTAGTAGCGTTTCATACGCCGATTCGCGACACTGGACGGACGTTTTTTATTTTCCTCGTGAGTCATGAAATGTCACGCGTACCGTCGTTTTAATAAATGCGACTATTTTTTTTTTCCTCCTCACGAGCCGTAAAATATCCCGCGTAGTATCGTTTTAATAAACGCGACTCATTTTTTTTTTCCCCACCACGGTACCTTTTATTTCAATATTTGTTATTATGTACATACCTTTTTTTTTTTCCGTCGCTAATGGTCGGTGCAATTTCCAGGCGTCCACTCAGTGGGAGTAGTCGAGCAGGTGGAAGGTGTATCGCGATCTGCCGGTGGGAAAAAAGATTATTTATCCGAGTAATTGTTTCCTGCTATGTAGGCCTTCGTGTATGTTCGCAGGATTCTGATAAGCGTTCCTCTGGTCGCGGTTATCACGGCGTCCGCGGGGTACGAGGGACCACTGTTAAAAAAAGAAAAAGAGTCCTCCCCGGGGATGGTAATTAAAAGTGCGGGGGTGGAGGCCCCCCTGGTTAATTATAAGAAAATACTCCCTCGGCCGAGATATCTCCCAGATGAATTTGTCAAGCCCTAAGCTACGCTCGTTTCCTCCGCCGATGTTACATTCGCGGTTTAATCGTCGAATTTAAACCGCTCGTTTATGCCATTCATTTCCGCCGGATTTATCCCGAGGAAAGACGACGGTACACGGTGGATGCATCAATCAAACCCATGAGGTACGTTTTCTCGCCGAGGACGAGCCCCCTCCGCGAAGACGTCTCGATTCGACGTCTCTTCCATTTCCAGGCTTTTAATTTTTCAATTTCTCGACTTTACTCCATTTTTTTTTTCTACGTTCTGATATTTCCTCCCCATTTCCGTTCGATCGCCGAATTATTTAACACAGGGTCTGGACGGGGATTTTCTTGGGAATTTCTTGTGCTATCAGTCAAGGCCCCATTATTTTCGCCCTTACCTGGTACCTTGATTAAGGTACGTCCACGTGCGCGCGCACCTGTGCCGTCAAGGTCCGAACAATGCGCGGATTACTCGAAATCTGGGCTCTAAGTGGAGGAGGTGCATACAGGTGCACAGTGCGCACTGCATGGAGTTCACCTCTCGGCATTGTCGAGTACTCGACATACTGTACCCCCCTGAGCCACCCCCGGACCAATGGTCGAGGATTCGACCCCTCGAGGTGGCCGTTCGTGCGCCGATGCACTTATGCACCTATGCACATACGTGGTAACATCCTCTCGGGGGCGCCGGTTGATAATGCACCCCTCGAAATCGCGAGATTTATCGGGGTGCCGCACGGGCCGCCCTTAGGCCGTGGTAATGCTCGCTTTAACGATAGATGAAGACCTGTTGATTTCGTCCTGTAGCCGAGAATTCCGGGCCGGAAACGCGTCTTTAAACGATCCAGAGGCCGAGGGGCCGAGCTTTTCGGCCGACCCCTGACTCCTCCATTTTTTTCTTCCCACGGGAAAAGGTCCGCCGTGATTTATAGCCCGATATCCCCGATAATGGAATCAGAGGGTCGCGATAATGCATCGTCTCGAAATGGACACTGGATTTCGGTTCTAGGGGAAACTTAGGATTTCCGATTTTATCCGGATTTATTGGGAGGGATTTCTCTCGATTTCTGTCTTTCCCCTTTTTTTTTTAATTACATCCGGAATCTAGGGTCAGACGATCAAGAGCGAATCGAGCTTCCCCCTAGGAATTGCCGAGGGGCGATAATGCATCGTGTCGAAATGGACCCTGGATTTCGGTTCTAGGGGAAACTTAGGATTTCCGATTTTATCCGGATTTATTGGGAGGGATTTCTCTCGATTTCTGTCTTTCCCATTTTTTTTAATTACATCCGGAATCTAGGGTCAGACGATCAAGACCGAATCGAGCTTTCCCCTAGGAATTGCCGAGGGGCGATAATGCATCGTCTCGAAATGGACCCTGGATTTCGGTTCTAGGGGAAACTTAGGATTTCCGATTTTATCCGGATTTATTGGGAGGGATTTCTCTCAATTTCTATCCTTTAAACTTTGATGGCTGTCTCTCCCTTTTTTTTTAATTACATCCGGAATCTAGGGTTAGACGATCAAGAGCGAATCGAGCTTCCCCCTAGGAATTGCCGAGGGGGGCGACCCTCGATCGGGTTCTAATGATAATTACCTGCACAACGGACTTAATTACGGGGTCGACGGGGATGCAATCGCGAGGACGACACGGAGGCAATCTCGAACTTGGAACCCCTTCCTAGTTGCTTCGCATTCCGCCTGATAAGGGCGGTCCTCGTCTTATCAGTCAACGCGAGAGGGTGACCTCCGTGGCCCCGATATTCCATCGGGACGATGTCATAATCAATTTGCCCCATTCTTCTCGATTTCGGTCGTACATTGAATTTTAGCCATGCGTAATTATTCCATAAAATCGTTACATGGCATAGTCCAGTGCGCACTGTTTAAATAAGTGCTACATAAATAAATACGTATACATGTAAATATGAATTTCAATAACCCATTTCAATATTTTAAAATCCATTCGCATTTACGTGCACATACGCAACCGATGTAATAATTTCAAGTATTAAGATACGTTATTACGATTTATATATATATTTATATAGCAATTAATTTACCCCGAATTCCGCACAAATAAACAATTTACGGCAGGGAAATAATCGATGGGGCTCCCATAAAACACGGAGGCCGAAAGCCCCAATATTTCCCCTCAAGAGGGGGCGAAGCTTCCCTTATCGGCAGGGGTTGACATCGGCTACCCCCGGGGGCGACCCCGATGGCGCGTTTAATCGAATCTCGGGGAGATCGCCGTCCGTTTCGCCCCTTGCCCCCCTTCCGCCCCACCGGGAAAACTACCCTTTTGCATACCAAATTGGCTTGTCAACCGGCTTGTCCTGTCAGGACTGTCAAACGGCGAACTTTGTGCGCGAGGCGGCGCGTCTCGACGCAATTTCCATAAATCGATCGGCGATCCTCCCTTAACCCGGCTTATCGATAACTCCGGTTCGCACCCCTTATCGATCGGCACCTCTCTTTGATTCTACTTACCCCGCCACCCCCCCTGGATACCTGTTGGCCCTTGAACACCTATGAGGTCTCACCGTCTTCTCCGAGTTGCTCGAGATTTTCTTTTTCCGAATTTCTTTCTTCAATTTTCTTCTTTTTTTTTTTCCCCCAAAAAAATCACCCCATTTTGTCTTGCGTGCGTTTGATGTGTCGGGTTGGATGGCTTGGTGAAAATCAGATTTTGGGATTCCGCTCGGTTCGGACGCGGGGACATACCTATGGGGTATTTATGGGAAATCGTGGGAAGGGTGAGAAATTTTGGCTTGATGTTAGTTGCGATAGGGAGGAAATTGCGGGAAATGCGAGGGGAATGAAACGGCGCAGGGGGAAGTTTCGTTCGGGAGTGGAAACACCCTCGGGGGAGGGGTTCTTACTTGTGGCGGTTTTCCGGGGGGGTTGGTCTGAATCGCGCGTATACCGGCGGGTAACGAGGAACAATGGGAGGGGGGTCCGGTGGTACGCGAGTACGTGGCCAGACACTATCCATTATTATTTCTCAGACGTGTCGCGCCGGATGCTCGCGCATTTATCGCGTGTTCCGGTACGAGACGAGTCAGGGAGTAGAGAGAAAGAGAGGTTTGTGGACCTAGAGGCTAGGTCGACGTGCGAAATAAACGCGTCTCTGACATCCCTGGTTCTGTTTGAAAATACCTAAATATGGTTAATAGGGAATAAAATGGTTGAAATTAGAAAGGGGGAAGAAGGATTCGGAGGATGTGAGCGGAGGATGCGGTATGGTACCTCTTCTTAATATTTCCTCGGGACGAGTCACACCCTTCGAGTCTCTCAGTCATCCCGGAATACTGCTATGCACCGCCCACGTGGACCCAGGTGTACCCACGTGGTGATACACCGGTTAAGTCACCGTCACGGAACCTCACCTCTTTCTCGCGGGCGCAGAGGCGTATCGAGGAGGTCCCTCGCCCTGGGCGTGTGTGTTTTCGAGCCTTTCCTCGGACCCATTGTTTCTCTCTCTTTCTCTCTGCTTATTCCGCCTCGAGAACCCACGACTCGCCTCGCTCCATATATCTCAAACCTCCTGTGTACCTCTCGTCGAATTTTCCGAGTTAGGTCCGTCTCCCCGGAGTTCGATTTTTCTTTCAACTCGCCCATCCAGCCACTCCCTCGACAAATGGATAGAAACATTCATCAGAGAACGGATAACTTAGGCAATTGATATAATGGAACTCGGTTTGGAATTTAATGATCTATTATTGATAAAAAAAAATTTTCTTTTGGCGGTATCGACGATTTGCAGATTTTTTCGGTGCATCTCCGGCAGGATGCACCCGGAAGCGCCGGTGGCGAATCGAGTCTCTCCCGAGAGTGATTTTCGCATCCGGTATTGCGTTTAATTAATCCCGGATATTGGGTTAGGTCGGGATAAATCGGGGAAGACGTCGGGGGTTCCGGGTGGACGGGCCGTCCGAGTCCTGTCAGGGGCACAAACGGTATCGAGAAGCCCCGAAGGGTGGGTCAAGTGGCATCAGGAATTCAGAAAGGCCACCCTTTGAACCCCTTTGTGGGGCCGGAATCCAGGATGTGTCGCCGGGAGAAACGGGAGCACGGGGTAACGTCGTTAGCACCCGCGGGAAAGCGCGTGTCCCCGGGACCTCCCTCTCGATTCGTTCCCCGGGATGGCTCCGACCTCGTTTATTCACCTGGCGAGGTTTTTCTCAGACCTGGATTTCTTCCCGAGTGACTTGACCCGATAAAAACACCCCCGTGCGTGATTTCCTCCCCTGGGATCATCCCTCGGACGCTGAGCGTCGTGCACCTTGATCATAAATTAATAACCAATTATTATGATATCATACGATATTAAGAAATCAACACCCGGGTAATTCCCATTGTATCCAATGCTTTCGAGAAAATCAAATGATTACCCGGATGGAATTGGGGATTTCTTATCGGAGTCGATAAGCGACCTCTTATCGGGGGATGTCGTTAATTGACTAATCAGTTTTAATCGTTACTCGAGGCTCAATGGCTCGCGAATTACGCGATGGGGCGTCTTGAGGAAATGATTGGAAGGGGGCCATTCGTTATCACGAGCCGTGGGGTCTCGTGCCGAGCTCTCGATACCGCTTCGAGATATTGTGACAGGTTTTCCCGCGAGCCTCATTACGCCTGGTAAGAAATAATTGACAATTATCCGGTGTCAGTCACGAGTCGGCGGTCGTCCGGGATCTCGCATCGGCCGAGTCGGGTTGACGAGTCTCCCCGGGTCTAATAACCCTCGGCAAGAAATAATTGAAAATTACCCGGTATCACCGATCGACGCACCTCGTATTCACGGCCATTCGTTCGGCCTCTCCTGCGTCGGCGAACAAAAAAGAAGCTCCGAATTCAATAGACTCGTGCCTTCCCCTCGATGACAGCTGGAGAGTCAATCAAACGTCGCGACTGATTACCGCGGGCTCACCTGGGAATTGATTCGAGGTTTATTTTATTTAACGTTATTATCAACGAATTAAAGGAGAAAAAAAAAAAAAGAAATTTAATCCGTGAAAATGTAGCTCACTTAGGATTTCGGCGGCACTTGACATTGATTATCGAACCACGAGGGTGATGTTCGGCAGGGAGTCTATCTTGTTTTATTTATTTATTTTTTTTTTAATGAAATTTCTTTATCATCGCGCTTCTCCTTGGAACCTCCGTAATCATGTGCCGAGGTATTGGGTGACTCGGTGCACCCGATTATTAATATTAATTTTCATGGTATACGTAGAGTCGGTTTCGATGGATGGAAATTTTCGAGGTCTCTCTCGAGGTCCTTCGGAGGGATTACGAAAGGCCTCCGAGGCCCTCCAGAGACGGCGACTTTTCAGGGTCCTCCTCGGAGGTTCTGGCCAGCCATTTTGTAATCGCGGTGACATTCCTGCGGTCAAAACGGCCGCGCTCGGATCCGCAAAACCCATCCCGCGAATCTCGCCTCCGAGACCGCGAAGTCGTCCAAGTCCGTCGAGAGAGGACTCGGTCCTTTCTCTCTCTCTCTCCCTCTCTTCACTTAGCACTTTTTACGGTCTAATTAAATATACGTCGGCGCAAGCCGAAACGTTACCGAGTGCAAAGTGCGGGGCCGTAAAGTTTTACGAGGGGCTTCGGCTCTTTTCCGCCCGGGCGAGAAATCGAGGGCGGAAAAAGGCCGGATTTTGGGGGTAGGACGAGACCCCCAAGAGGTGACGGAGATTAACGGAATTGATGGGGGGGTTATTCCCTCGCTAATTAAACGCGGAATCGCCTCTTCGAGGCCCTCTTCAGGGACCTCTTCAGGGACCTCTTCAGGGTCGAGGGACGCGCGGTCCTCGTTATTTATCCCGCGATAATCACCCTCGCTTTAGAGCCCACTAAACTCGTCCTCGAGTTTTTTTTCCTCTCCCCTTTTGCTCTCACAATTATTATCCATCCTTTCCAGAGACGTCGCGGCTGTCAGACTCTCGGGCGAGCCCGAAACTGCGCGAGGGGTATATTAAATATGGAATTAATCTCTATTTGATATTAAAAAATGAGGAAGGGGGAGAGATCCTCCCTTACCAGTTGAGTCTCAATTTTCGCGGCGTTACATATTCATCGGAAGTCGGTGGGACGTTAAGTTACCTCGTTAGCTCCAACTTGCCCTCGTACCTTTGACTCGGTCCGGCCGTGAGGATAACTTCTTCCTCCCTTCTTTCTCCCTTTCCCCCCCTCAGGCCGAGTGTGGGCGAGCGGAAACCGCTCCAGGGTCCCGATAAAGAGTCGGCCGGGAAAGTTACGGGGCGAAGATCGACGTAAATTAACTCGTTCCCCCGGTAATTAAATCCGCGAGTTTATTCCGCCGAGATCCGTCCAAAGGGGCCGCGGCCGAACGGTGTCGTCCTCGCCTCGAATATTGCGAAGATACATTTCCCCCGATTTTTCCATTTTCCTTTTTCCTCCATTTCGCTAAGAAATAAATTATCCCCCGCCAAGGTCGGGGAATTAAATTATCGGGTAGCAGGCGAGCTTCTTTTTACGCACCGCTGAAAATCCTCGTCGTCGCCTCGAATGTCGAGGTACTTTTTTTTCCCCTCCCCATTTTTGAAATTTTTCTTTTTCGTCTTCTTCGTAAATAAATAATCCCTCGCGAGATCGACGAATAAAATCGTCACAGGGGGACCTGCCCGGGCCTCTTTCTACGGGCCGCTGAAAATCGACTGCTGGGCCTTGTCGTAAAAAAGGCCCATCCGTCGAAATAACCGGCGAGTCCTGGGCTTGTAAAATTACACCATTGACGTACTTACACCGGCCCTCGGACCTTTGACTTAAGCCGGCCGCCTCGCGTGTTCCCCTCGGTCGGCAATTATTTTTATTCCGTCCGGCCCGACAAGAAGGCCGGCGCATTCGAGGCCCTGGAATTCGAGGGGATTTTTATTCAGGGGGATGAACACTCGCCGGGGGGTTAATTACTCGTTAGGCAACGCAATCGCGCCGTAAAACGCTCTTTCCGGTAACGATCGCCAATCGTTTATTGCTCGCTCCGCCGAGCGGACGGTTTTTCCCCCGCGTCTTTAATTGCGGCTCGATCGATGCCGCGTTTATTTATCACCGGGGAATCGTTTGCAAGATCACGCGTCCGAGAGAGACGTGGCGATCATTATATTTCTTTCCTTTCCGTGGAAAAGAAGAAAATAATAAAAAGTCACGCGAGGCGATATTTTTGTTCCCTGAGTGAGGATTTTTGACGGCATCGACACGATGTGGAGGCACCATATTTCGTAACTTATTTGTTATGTAAACTTGACGTCTGCTGATTATTAGGTTGCAAGCAGGATATTTATCATTTGCCTCTTTTTTCTTGGATTTTTTATGCAATTGAAATCGAGGGATGTAGTTTGACGTGAGGGTGGAATTTATTTTTATTTTTTCTGGGTGGTGATTCTCGCTGATAGCGGGGTCGCAGGGTACTTTGGGTACCTGTGGTACCTGTGGTACCTGTGGTACCTGTAATGTGCGCAAAAGTACCGAAAATACAAATGGCACCAAGGTACCGGATCGCGCTAATGGCGGACGCCCTGGGAATAACATAAAGAGGAAGCCGGAACCTCCGGTGGTGTTTGCCTCGGCGAATTGGGTTGAGTACCGGGTAGCGGAAGGAAAACGAGAGCACCGGGTAGAAATCCCGGGCAATTACCGCGGCCCCGGGTCAAAGGAAATCCCAACCCGAGAATTCGGAAATACGAGCCGAGGTAGGAAAGGATCGACTCGGTAGCTCGTAAGACCGCGCCGAGAGGCGGCCTTAATCGTCGATCATTAAGCATCGGAGAATCGAACGAGAAACGTACCCGGGAGTATATTACCCCGGTCACGGCGGCATTCTAATTCCACCAGAGAAGGGGTCGAGGAAAAATCCCCAAGGAAAAGGTTGGCCGATCCGCTTTGCCCCTCATTCTCCTCCCGAGGGAGGAGGACGCCCTTAACGAGGCCGCCGTTTTCATCGGTCGTATTTCTCCCTTTTCTATTTCCTTGTCATCGGATACCTCCGAATGGCCATAAGTCAAGGATCGAGGATCTCTGAAATTATCCGAGAGCTTTGCGAGAATTATTTCCCTCGGAACGACTTTACTCCGACTACTTGGCGGTCTAAAAATCCGTATTTTCGGATTTACTTTAATATGTATTTTTTTTTTTATTCCCTCGGAACTTGATATGGCATTTCTTTTTGGAAAGGGGGGTAATCCTCGATGGGATGGCTGGAATTTTTTATGGGAAAAATATTCATATCGGGAGCCTGGAAAAGGCGACCCTTTTCTTTTCGGCGCGGCGAACGCGCGACCTCGCCGAAAGGCGCTCCTCCACCGGGGAGATTAATAATGCAAGCCTTTCCTGCGGGAACACTGCTTACTTCTCGGATGCGACACGACTTTCTTGCTCCGTAAACCGAGGGACTCCCTGGAAGAGGGTCGGAGCCGAGTTTTAAGGCTTTTCTGCACCCTTGACCTGCATCAACTGCACCTGTCTGCATCTCCACCTCGCACCCTGAGCACGCCTCGGGTATAGACGAAAGTCTAGTCACTCGGAAATAGAGCCAGGATTCCCCTGGAATGATTTCCCGACCTCCATTCGTTTCCCTAATCGGCGAGAAAACCTACGATTTTTCCTCGACTTTTTCCGCGACTTCTTTTCGTGATAACGCGCGACCCCCTAGGAGCCGACAAGGAGCACCGTTTAAAGAATATTCCCACCTCGATATCGTTTCACCCTGTACGCATCGTGGCCCGATATGGGGTGTCTTCATGGGGAGACTCCAGGAACCTGATTTTCCATGTTTAGGTCCTCCGATTTACGGGCTAGTCGAGCCACCCCGCGAGGTGCCACCCCCCGAAGAGGATCTCCCACGTGTGAAAAGCTCGCCGGAGGCCGGCGGGAAAAGCGGAAAAAGGGGGCTAGAGTCCCGGAGGAACCGTTAAATCAACAGGTCCATTCATCCCCCGGGATCCGACTTCCTGGAAGAAATAAGTCTCGGGCCGTTTAGTCGGCGCCCTTTGAGGCCAACTCGGCGGTTCCCTCCGTTTTCTCTTCTCGAATTGAGATCGATCCGGTCCAGGGCCTCGTACGGCCCCGAGGGACCTCCATGTAAGCGAACACGACCTCGCAAAATGCTGGCCTGCGTCTATCCTCCGGAGAACTTCAAATCGAAGCCCGCCACCGTGAAGCTGCGACATGGACGGTCGCGGAGAAAGTCGAAGATGCACACGATGAAGGAGAAGTCGGAGGCGAGGATCGCCGCGCCGATGAACAATGAGGTAGGTCAGGGATTCCTCAAGGGGTGGGATTCCTGAAAAGCGAGGATCACATGAAACAATTCGATTAACCTCGTTAATTTAATTTATTAAAAATCGGCAATCGACCGCAGGACGATCAGCAATTATATAAGGAGCCAACGTAAGTGTCAGTGTCAAGTTTTCAGGGATTTTCAGTGTCGACTCGTTAAGTGGGAATTACGTTAATTATTTTAAGTATCTAGCAGGAAATTCCAGATCGTCGTTTGGTAAAAATATTAATCCGAGGGATGGGAATAATCGAGGAGAGCGGAACTTGGCAGGACTTGAGATTAAAGGAGTGAAGAAACTCTGCACTCCTTTTTCCCGGAAGATTCTGCAGGGGGATCGGTTTCAGGGATGTCTTTGGCTTTCCACCGAGGCGGAAACTCTCAGATCGCAGGGACGACGCGTAATTATTCCCAGGTTGTTTACGAGGGTACTTAGAGTCGATCCTTCGGAAGGGATGAGAGTCTTCGCCGGGAAGAAAGAGGATCAAAGTCGGGGACCTGGGGCGCAATTATTTCCCGGGGTTCCTGGGGGGAGTTTGCCTCCCATTTTCCCAACTGTCGGGATTTATCGCCGTGTCGAGTCGACTCGCGATTTTATTATCGGCGCGATGGCGTCGTTATCGCGCCTCGTTTGATTTTACACCGCTGACCCTTGAGGAAAAAATCTGGAAAAAAATTTCCATCGTCGAATTGATCTTACACTTGTAACGTGTATATCGGGGAGGATTACTTTTTTTCAATTGACGAGGCATTTCTTCGGGACTGATCGAAGAAATATTTATTACATGATTTGTGGCTGAGATTGTGGGCCGATTTATTGGCGGGGAATTCGAGGCACGTCCATGGTGGTTCGTCGTGTGACGGGGGAGGCATTTCTGCCATTTCTGCGACGAACAATCGACACTTCCTCGGGGGCCCCCGTCTTCTTGGAAGCGCAAGTACGGGGAACGCGATCATCTCGGTTGGCCGGCGACAAGTGAACGACGTGGACCCGACCTCGCCGGCAAGACGGCTTGTAAAACCTAACCGAACAAGTTTTCGTTGAATCCCAGGCCGATAACAGCCGCGAAACTGCGAGCAAAGCTCGACATGTCGGGCGAGTAACTCGTGGAGGACAAGTTCCCTCCGAAGCATTAAGTCGGAAGTTTTAGGTCGAGTGATATATAGTCGAAGCTTATCACCGACGTGAGGAAAATTCCCGTATACTAGGACTACCTCAAAATCAGTGGACCCAAATTACACATTTTATTTTGATGTGATAATATAATCGAAGCTTATCACCGATGTGAGGAAAATTCGCGTATACTAGGACTACCTCAAAATCATTGGACCCTACTTACACATTTTATTTTGATTTTACAATATAATCGAAGCTTATCACCGACGTGAAGAAAATCGCGCATACTAGGACTACCTCAAAATCATTGGACCCTAATTACACATTTTATTTTGACTTTACAATATAATTGAAGCTTATCACCGACGTGAGGAAAATTCCCGTATACTAGGACTACCTCAAAATCATTGGACCCTAATTACACATTTTATTTTGATTTTACAATATAATCGAAGCTTATCACCGACGTGAGGAAAATTCCCGTATACTTGGAGTACCTCAAAATCATTGGGCCCTAATTACACATTTTATTTTGATTTTACAATATAATCGAAGCTTATCACCGACGTGAGGAAAATTCGCGTATACTAGGACACATTGGACTCTAAATACATATTTTATTTTGATTTTGGGTTTGGTTGAATAATATCGACTGGTTAAACGAATCGAGAGGTATGGATCAGGAGAAAAGCGCACGCGTGATTTTTTACATTTCAGTTGAATAAATAAAAAAAAAAGGATGAATATACCGCACCTGCCAAAATTCACGTCGGGTGAATTATTCTTAAGGAATGGAGCCGTTTGAAATTTGACGTTCCTGATATTAACATTGCCAATATCTCGATCAAAGCACGTCCTCGCCGCGAACTCGTATCTTCCCTCTTTGGACGACCGGTCGAATTTGGTTACGCTTTCCGTGTCCAACTATTCAACGAGCACCCTGGGATGAAAGCTCGGCAACCGAAACTTCCCTCAAAGTTGGAATTCGCGGCGGGAAGTTCGCCGGCTGGAAAAGGGGAAGCGCGAAGTTGGTCCTGGAATTAATTTACAATTTAATAAATAAAGATCCGCCCAGCGGCAATCCGGCTCGGCGCGCGCCATTGCGCCGCCCTGCACGAAAGTGTGAATTTTCCGATTGAAAGAGGTGAATAACAAATTACGAGGACTGCGGATAATTCCGAATTTTTTAACTCGCCTCACCCGGGGGGTGGCATCTGCTGGACGTCTACTTATCTGCGCCCCACGTCCTAGAAAGCACCCCCTCCACGAGGAGTCCTCTGTCGGCTCCCTCGCGGCTTAACTCGATTTAACGGCACTCAAAAAAGCGCTAACCTTGTTTCCGCATAAAGCCCCGAGCGGGGTGTCTAATCTTCCCTTAACGCGGTGCTCGGGAATACGTAATTCCGCCTGGCAGATTGCAAAGAGAGCCAGACGGGTCCAGCCAAGGCGTCTGTTAAAATTAATAACGCTCGTTCCCGACCTACAAAATGCCCTCCGTGGGGATGATCCGAAGGAGTCGTCCCTTTTCCCATTTCTTTCCTCTTCCACCTCGCCCTCCCCCTGGGGGACTTGAAGGACCCCCAAAAGGGGCGATTAAGGCCCCCCAGCGAATCGCCTCGAGAAGAGGTGTCTCCTCCCAGGGTCTGGCAATTAAGGGGCGCGATTACTCGAAATGACGTCATTTCCAGTAATATAGGGATTTCGTACTCGAAAGTGCCGAGTTATCCCTTGTTATCCCCTTTACCCTTAACCTTCCCCTGGCATTGACTCCGATTTAAATAAGAGCAAGGAAGACCCCCTTCTCGAATCCGATCCGCCTGAAAGGATTAATTATCGTTACTCTTTCGTAATTTACACATCATTTATTTTTACCCCCACCTCCACCTGACGTTCGAGCAAGGTTTTCCGTTTCATCGGCGTGATCGGTAAAAAGAAGAAAATCGTTTCCTCGAAACGTCCCGAATGTACGTCAGGGTCTGTACTGTAAAACGCTGTACAAATGTGTATATACGTGCGCATATATGTGTACATACATTCGATTACATTATCGAGCGAACGACGCGGCATGGCCGACGCTAAATACGTTCTCGCTTTGACAAGATGAAATCCATCATCCCGACAAAGGGCCCGACCATTACAATCATGCCGATTTACTCGATAACTCGTTCGACATTATTACATTATTCGCGACGCATTCAGCGAGAGGCCCCGACATACACGCGGTCGATTTTGAAAGTTAAAGAGAAAAGTTTTGCTAGCTGCAACCCCCTCCGGGGGTGGTGGGTGGGAAATGCGGGGTACAATTAGAATAAAATAAAAGAGGGACATGAAATGTCCATTTAATTTAGAAAACCGCGACGCAGGTTGCGCCGAGTGCGCTTCGACGTTCTACCTGGCGGAAAGAAGCCGGAAGTAGCGGAAAGGCCGCGTTCTAATTACCCCCCTCCCACCCAGGAGGGCATCGATTTATTGTTATTTTAAGCGGGAATTGGACTCGGACGGGCGAAACGAAAGAAATAAGTCCGCGATACGTGGCCCGATTGGTCCGGAAAAAAAGGAAAGAAAAAAGGAAGATCCCTCTAATTGCGAGACCTGACCTGACCTAACGAGACTCGAGGGGGGAATCCTCGCCCCTGGGAAAGATTTCTAGCACGCCGGAAGGTCCATCGACTTTCATTCCCAGGAACGAAAATAAAAGGACAATCTACCGTGCGACCCACGAGGTCTCGTCGGGTCTTACAATGAGTATTGATATGAATGACCGCTTACTATTCCGCGTAACGCCTCCTTGCCGGCGCTGAATATCGCTAAATCCGTTTGACAGGAAGGAATCCATAATCCTGACGAAGGATCTGTCGCTAAAGCCGGTCCGCGGGATTTATCCGAGGACTTGTTTAACGTCGATGCATGTGCCGACGTGGAAGGACGCAATTCCGTTGAGGTGTCGAGAAGAGGTATCCGTGACACCTGGATGCGATCCGTTCCTTACATGATTTGCGCACCTAATCCTGGTAATCGCGATGAGACTATCAGGGTTGAAAAGTGGATGGACGAGTCATCCCTCTTCGATCAGCGTCGACTCTCTTGGACGTTCCCAGGGCGCCGTTTCCACGTTTCCTATATTTAGGGAATACTTTGATAAGTGTTGGATGATTCGATCGAGTGATCTGAACTTTTCTCCTTTTTCTTTGCTGTTGCAGTTACCTGTGGGCGGGGGCGGGGCTGTGCTGGTGCTCAGCGAGCTTGAAAGCATGGCAGCCAGACAGCAACGGGAAATCGCCCAGCAGAGGCGCCTCCTGGAGCAGAGAGAGGCCCGACTCGCCGTGCTTCGGGGCGCACAGGTGAGGCCACCTCCACCTAGCTGAGTCTGATAATTTAAGAATTTCAACGCATTACTTACCGGGGAATTTCGGAACCAACCGCGACCATGGGTACCGCAATACCAATTGACAAGTCTACGATAGATAATGCGCTAAAGTCTCTCAAGCCTGATTTTAATTGTCCTAAATCGCCACGTGGTTCGCGATGGTTGGAATATCCTCCAGGATCCAGAGTGACCAGCGTTGGGCATCCATCGGCGGGAAACTCGCATATTTCCTCTCGGGCCAGTTTTCCGGCACGGCAAATTTTAGCGCTCTGCAGGGACGAGGGGGAAATTGTATTCTCATTGCGGAAATTGCCAGGGGACAGAGAGAGAGAGAGATCGACTCGCGGGCGGACCGTGCGATGATGTTCACAGAACGAACCGCCCAGAGTGCGCGCTTCCGGTTAGGCTGTCACGGGAATAAGATTGATAGGTCAGGACTGAACGTCGGGCCGATCGATCTTTCTCTCCGACTCTCTTTCCGTTCCTCCGTCTCTTTTCCGTTTGCCGGGTCCGCCATCCGGCACCGCACAAAGTTGGGTCGCTTTGCATTCCATAAATCACGGGGACCCGGATTACTCCTCGGCGGTCTTCGACGTCGGCTTTCTGCCACCGGGACATTTCGGATCGCTATCGGGTGAGGGTTGATAAGCACTCGCCTTATCGTGGCTTTTGCTTCTTCGGGTACAGGTGAGAGAGAGAGATATCGGTGGAGAAGTGGCGGTTTCGAAGCGTCCCACGGTGGATGATCAAACGCGAGGAGGAGGCCTTTAATCGGACCTTCTTCGGCGTCCGAAGAGTCCTTCTCGCCGATCTTGATCGGATCGATCGCGTAATCGATTGGGCCGAACCGGCGCCGCCTCGTGACAAGTGAGAGGAACGCGGAAGACGCGGTCCAGGTCCTGGTTCGCCTCGGCACGGGGCAATTAGGCGAAAGCAAGATCCTCGATTGCGACGCCGAGTCCACTTCCGGCTGGATGCTTGGTCCTGGACCTTGCACCCCTAGGAGGGACGGGAGAGGATCCATCCTGCGTGGATTTTTCTCGAGACTTCCTCCTGGTGCAATTATCGTAACCCGCGATTCCCCTCGCGATTGCACCTCCTCCAGCACCGGATGGCCGGCGCGCGCTTCCGTTATCTCCAGCCTCGGTTATCTCCCTCTCGCCTCGTCTTCTTTTCCAGCCCGGGAGCGTTCACGGTGCCGGCGATGCAAAGTGACGGTCTCGTCCTGGGACTGCCGTTATCGGAGCCGGCGACTGTGTCCTCCCAGCGGGGTCCTTCCGCGTTCGGATAACCCGATAACACCACCCGGGGTCGCACAGTTGGGATCCTAAAACAGGGAATCCGATAAGGCTCCGGGAGTACTTGGCGCGATACTCCACCCTCCGTTTCTCTATTATCGATACTCCGGACCGGCGGCCGGCTCCCAAGTGGCGGGATAAATGCGGACGGACGAGGAACTCCGTTCTTGGGAATTATCCACGGCGTTTAAGGACGCGTTGCGAGATTCCTCGACGCGCGTGCCGCCCTGACTCAGCTGGCGGCGTAAAAGGCGCGTGGAAGACGCGTCTACCGTTAGCCTATCCTTCGCGTCAACCTTGACCTGGGCTAACGAGAACGTCACGCTTACGTTTATTCCCTACGACCCCTTCTGGAGGAACCCTCGGGCCTTACGTAACGCGCCGTTACGTTCCCGTACGCACGAGTCACCAGGGTGGAACGACCTGGGGGTCAGGGGAGCTCTCCAAGGTGTCGATCATCCGACCCTGCGATCCGCTCGGCTAGTAACCTCTTGTGTCAGGAAATCCCCTCTCCACCTGTTGACATTTTATATACGTCTGATTTATGTATGATTTATTCATGACTTATTTATATATTTACATAAAAACGAGGAAAGCTCGTTATCACGCAACGCGCCGTTAGGTTCCCTTACGCAAGAGTCACCAGGTGAATCCTTCGAGGCGTCTTATCTGTCTACTTTGATAAGAATAAAAAAAATCAACTATATGTAATTATGAGAGGAAGTAATGTGATTTTACCTCAGTTCTGTCAAGTCTCGGTGGAAAGGCGACGCTGGGAAAATTAACGATTCGGCGTGTGTCCGTTTCTTTTTTTTTCCCAGCCGACCTGGAGCTCGCATCTCGAGCTTTACCGGAATTTTCATCCGGTCGGGCAATTTTTCCAATTTGATCGCGCAATCGTCCATGCTCGGTCGCCAGATGCGAGTCAATGCAGTTACCGGTACTCCTGGCTTCGTGTAAGCGTCGTCATTGCGAAGCGACCCGGGACTCTTGACGTTCCACCTGACCTGGTCCTCGAGAGTGCTGCGTCAGTTCCGAGCCTTAACTTTTTTCCCCTTCCTCCTCCCGTGTCACTGTAAACAGGATCCTTTATAACTTTTCGATACCCTCCCAGGAGTCTCGACACGCCGCATAAATATCCCCGGGAGTCCGCACCAGCGGACGGAAACCGCAACCTCGAGCCTCCGGGTGGGAGAAGTTTGAAAAATCACATTGACACGACACGGTACCTTCGGGCTCGTGCGCGAAGTCATTAGGGTGAGACAAGAGATCCTTGACCTACCCCTTTCGCGGCCAACTCGCGGATCTCGGCCGACTTCCTTCTTGGGTCCATTCCCTCTTGATTAGTCGAGGAACCTCTGGCTCTGAAATGGATTCATAAGCGAGTATAATTACTCACGTCCGGTTTGAAAGTTCCCCTTCGAGGGTGGGATTCTATAGAGGTCCTAGGAAAATCAAGGGCCGTTTAAACAAGCAGCGACCACCTTTGGCCGGACTTAATTCACCTGGATCCCCTTGATACCGATTGTTCAGTTACATCCAGAGTCGCAATTAGGGAGCCGAAGATCCTGGAGAATTAGGGCCGTCTTTTCGGAGTTCAGGGGAGCCGCAATGTCCTGGGGGTGTGCGGTAATTCCGAGGTAATACGCACCCAGGTGAAGAGGGGGTGATGTCGCAAGGATCAGCGACGAATGCCGTAATCCCGACCATCGGGTCGACCGTCCACAGGGTGGTCATCGAGGTCGCTACTCCTTCGCCCTTGGTACCAGGGCTTAGGGTCGCCCTTCTTCGCAGGGGGTCCGTTAACGAGCGGGGACAATGCCGCGTAAGATCCTTGGCCTCCCCCGAAGGAGCGGGCCGTCTTCCTGGGTTAATTGGGGGACCCGCTTCAATTTTCTGGCTCAGCCAGGAGCGGGCTAATTAGTTTGGAGCCGCATCCGAGACGCTCGACCTCTGACCCCGAGGGTGACGGGGAGGGCACACAAAAGGCCGCCGGAAACCGAGGATCCAAGTTCCGGAAATGGGACCCATCGACCTCTTTCGGATGGTGCGCTCTCCCGATACCTGTTTGCATGTCCTGGGAGGTCCTGGGAGGTCCTGGAAGGTCCTTGTGGCAGGACTCAACGTTCTGAGGGAACCGATGCGCTGGGGGACGTTTCAGGAGGAACTCGTGACGACGCCATCGAAGGCTTCCTGGAGTCTAATCCTGGTTCGTTTCTCTTGCAGGAGCCAGCACAGCAGGACAGACTGGCCAGGCTGAGGCACCGGCTGGATCAGCAGCAGAGCAAGCTGAATCGGCTGCGTCTTCTCAGGTCGCAGACCGACCAATCCCGGGCCAACAATGCCACGCTGAGTAAGTTTGTCGACTCCCTTGATTCATCTAGTTCCTATTATCGTCCGTACCGAGACGTACTCTGAGAGGGGATCAGAGAGGATACTCACCCGACACGAGTGGAACCATCCCCCAATTGGACCAGCGTGGACCCAGGTCTTCCTGGTCGTTTCGTTGAATTTATAGAATTTTCAGGATTTTCAGGGTCTCCTTCGAATTTTCCGTATTTTCTGAATTTTCTGCTCGCCGCCCACGGAGACTCGCCCTCTGGAAAATTGAACCGATTAATTCCAGCGGGACAAAAGTAACGAGGAAGATGTCTAGTGCCGGTTTTACGAGCTCTTTAATCCTTCCCCATCCGGGGTAGGTCACCTCAAGAAGGCTCTGGGAGCTCGGCAGAGAGAAAGAGCTAGATATCCCCAAGGGGGCACCCAAATCCTGCAGGGTGATAGAAAATGAACGCCGGCGGGGGTGCCTCACCTCCCTATCTCGCCACCCTCGAGTTTCAATGGCGAAACTTGTTGAAATCTACCGGAAAGAGGCGCGCGACGTGAAAGAGGATCGGGTCATCCCGGGCGTCACTCCTGGGAGGGGGTTGGAAATTCCTCCCCTTCGGCGCCATTCCGTCTGTCTCCGTTGCGCTTCCTGATCCCTCGTAATCCCGAGTCCTAGCGATTCCCCCGGGAGGGGGCGAAACCCTCCCCCCGCCGCAAACCGTTTACTCGCGAGATCTCTCCTCACTTCCGGGATTTCCCGGCCGAGACTCTTGGAGCTCTTTTCAGGGGAAAAGGGACGCCCGACCCCGCCACCCCTGGCGAACGCAGGGCCACCCCCGACGGGATTTCCGATGCGAATTCGCGAGGAAATCCCCCGAGATTTCGCCCTCGTTCCATGGCGAATTCACCGCGCCCCTCTTTATGCGGTTCCTTATGCAGGAAAGGGGCAAAACGCTGCCGGGGAAAATCCTGAAGGGGGGCGTCACGAATTTTACGGCTTTCAAGGAACCGGATGTTTCGGAGACTCCAGTGAAATTGATTAATCATAAAAATATCAATGGACTCGTGCCTCGAGGCGATAAGTCAATTTTAGAGTATCTTGTTTGAAGGACGTTTGGCTAGATTTCGATTTCGGGTTTGAAAGAGCTGCGGCTCTATTTCTGCGCCCGGAGATATATATAGTTCCTGGATGGACCACGATCGGACAGGCGAACTCCATTCGCGGGGGATAAAGTGGAAGTGTCCTCTCTTCCCCTCGGCCGTAGTACATCTTCCCGTCGTCCGTTTTCTTTTCTCATGGTTCGCCTCCTACTCGTGTCCCGTCGCTTCCTGTCGCCTCCTCTTCCACTAGCGTCCTGTCGCTTCCTCTTCTGCTCGCCGCGGATCTAGATCTCGGTTCCTGCTCGCTCCCTGCTGGATTTCATTTCCTGGGTATCGCTCGTCTCGAAATCCCCTTCGCCGGGGGTCTCGGGGAATTCTCTGGACACCTCTGGAAGTGCCGGCGATTGTCGGTAACGACCGGCTGAAGCGACGAGCCCGGAATCGCTCGGCTCTATTTTCTCTCCTGCACGGCAGCGAATCGATTCTTCTGGACTCGCTCGGTTTCCAGCTCGCTTCGTTCCCCGTTTTCGGGTTGTTACGCTCGCCCAACCTGGCCAAGTGTACCGGAAGAATTAATATCCGGGTCCTAGCCGGAATTTTAGCGGCCGTTAGAGGCGCCTTCAGTTTTTTTTATATTTTTATACGGTATACTTTTCCGGCGACGTCGACTGCTCTGCCAGCCTGCGTTCCTTCTCTTCCTCTCTTCTCTTCAGGGTGGGACTTTCTCCCCGAAGAGGGACCTCGCACCCGGCCGGGACTCAGTTCATAAAAGTGTTCCTTCGCGCTTTTGACTGAACTTTATACACGGCTCTGGGCAGGAAAGTGCCGGGGAGGACCTCTTCCTGAATTCTCTTTTCCTCCTCCTCCGTCCTTAAGTCCGCGTTGGCTCGTGTCCGAAGCTGCAAAGAGAAATAAAAATGAAACACTCTTCGGTTCCCTTGCTTTTGTTACTCCTAACGTTATCCGACCCCCGAGTCAACCTTTCCCCGGAGTCGCTGTTTCCCGCAGGAGGTGACCTGGGGAAAAAGGGAGCTTTGGGAAAGATTAGTCGGGGTTTTGCGAGGACCAGGAATCCGCGAGTCCTGGACCAACTCGGCCCTTAGTCCTCCCCAACTTCGGACGGATTGAAGTTTCTCCTAAAGCTCCCTCCTCGCTTCCGACCGATTTTATTGATCCCGGGTATCGGTTAATCCTTGCCTCCTGCTACGCTATATTTATTGGCCGATTAATCAGCGCTCTGATCCTGATCCTGCAGGTGCATCGGTTAACACTCCCGAGTGCGCACTTTTGCTCCTTTTGCAGCTCTATGCTTACATCTCGACAATTCGATCTCCACCTTCCTCTTACACGGTATCGACAAGTTTCGAGCGATTAACGAGCCGCATCTGTTTTATTTATTTTTTTCTCCCTCTCTCTCCCCATAAGCGTAATTCGGTCCGAACGCAGGTTTTTCGCACCTGCAAGCATTGCTCCGTTACACGATACGTGCATTTTATTTCGAGGGCGTTGCAGAGTGACTTTCGCCGCTGCAACGATTTCCCGCTGATCGATACACCCCCGATACAACCCTGCAATTAAATTACGATACCCGGCCAACTGAAATGTACGAGAAAAGGGTCAATCTAAAGAGTCTTTTAATCCTTTCCGGAGCCTTCGGTGCGGAAAATCTCTGTCCAGCCCGTAGAATAATTCGAGGTTTGTACTTCGACTGCGGAACTCGTGCATTGAACACCCTTGCCACTCGTTTGCTTTTCCCTCCCCGATTCGTTTTGTCTGCCGGTTGCGCTTTGCTCGGCGCAAATGCGATATTTATCGATCGATTAATCAGAACAGGCCGCGCGGCTAGATGCTCAGTAATCCGCAGACACTTCCATTAGCATTCCCATGGGCATCCCCTCGTGCTCTCTTTGCAGTCGGAAGCATACGCCCCAACAATTCAATCGTTCCCCTCTCATTCTCGTGTCAGAACCCTTGTATGACTCCCTGTAATGTGTCTTCAATGATGTCTACATTTTCAGGACCCTTGTATGACTCCCTATAAACTGTCTTCAGCAACATCTACATTTTCCTCCGCGCAAGGACTTCCTCCTTGGACAGGTCCTTAATCCACCGAATTTTTGACAATAGCCCCTGAAACTGGACAATGTGGATCAACGTATACAAACTATTGTATAAAAAAAAAAATCCCACTAGAGTTAGACGAGACATAAGTCTACGTGCCTCGTGTAACTCTATCGGTGCGCGTCGAATCGTTGTAAAAATGAAAAAGAACCTGGAGATGATCGACAGCGTTCGTTAACCGAGCGAAGCGTCGACCGCATTTCAGATAGTATAATTTTTACCGGCGGGATCCATTTTTCTCCCCCGGGTGATGGATGCTTTCCGCGGGGGAGGAGGATGGTGGCAACGAGGCCGCATAAAAATCGTGACGTTTTACGCGCGACCCTTTGAAAGCGGGGGCCCCCCACTTCAGGGCACTCTTTTCACCTGGCCCTCGTTATTCGAGCCCGGGAATAATAAATTCTATCGATTCCCACCCGCTTCCGCGAGCGGGGAGCCATTTCTCCGGGTCTTTCCGTGCCGACCCGCCCGCAGAAGGACGTATTTAGCAAGAGATCGAACGCGATCGGTCGAGGTTTCGCTTCGATCGAGGGGGGTTGAAATCGCCCCAAGCCTGTCGCCCTGTCGGGGGCTCTTCGTCTTTCCTCCCTCCGGGAATCCTCTTTCCACGCCCATTTCCTGCGCACCTGTCCCAGCCGAGTCCTCCAGGACTTGGTTTAGACCTGAACGCATCTCCCGGAAGTCGACAGCGTCGCTTCCGTCGTTCCCTTTTTCCGTAACGTCAAGCCCCACGAACGCTCGCCTCCTGTAAAACAATGCACGCATTGTAGGTCATGTTTGACGCCGCTTGTATTTTGTCTGGCATGATTTTTCTTTCTCTCTCTCTCTCTCCTGTAACCGAAGTACTCGGTTATTAACGATGTCAGCGACGTGCCGCATAGTAGATGTTGTTCCTAGGAGGCACGTCGAGGTCTACCTGTTCTTACCTTTGTTAAAGTTCCGGTTATGAAGTTAATTTCGTTCCCTTCCCGTCCTGTAGATGGCGTTCATTCGCCGCCATCTTGCTCGCCGGGGCACGCGTAACGGAGTTTTTTATGCCTCCGAATAAAGCCAGTCTGTTACCGGTGAATTAAAAGGAGAGTAAGTAACGGATAAACGAGGTTATGGTAATTGAGTAAAAATGATAATACCTTGTACAGAGGACATTGCGCAAGAGCGATGGAAGTAGGAGGCGGAGTAGATTCGCTGTACCGGGGAATCACGTAACAGGGGAAACGGTGGCGGTCCGCTATATGAGGGACGATCAAAAACAGGCTTAAATGGCGTTACGTTATCTATGGACGATATATATATTTTTTTTGCAAAACACCTACTGCGTGAGAAAATTCGTATCGTAATGTCCCGCGAGGCCGTGGAATGCTTCGCCGGCGTTGAATTTTAAATGCCGTCCCTAGAGAGAAGACGAAGTTCCTTGAACTAACCTCAAAACGAGTGCAAAGCTAAAGCGCAGACTTGCCTCGGCGCGTGCAGGAAATCGCACCCAGGTTCTTCTTTTTTTTTTTTTGTTGTTTTCTTTTTAAGCTTCCTGTAGAGTGGAGCGTGTACTCGAGCGTATGAACGTACGTTACACGCGCATTTGAAATATATGGAGCAACGCCCTAGGAAGTAAGGACGACTCCGCGGGCGCAGGGAGAGCCAGGTAAATAACCACTCCCCAACGGGCGCGCGGAATTGCCGCTCGTTAACGCGGCGCTGCGGGCGTGACTTTACGGCGGCCCGTAAAATTCGAATGATCGCGCGCCCGCGCCCTAACCACCCCGTATATGCGCGGACCGAGGGCAAGGATAATCCGCGGGCCGAATT